GCATTCATATCATCAACCATTCACCCTATTCGTCTGATATGGCACCCTGCGATTTTTATTTGTTCGGAAAACTACATTTGGCCATGAAAGGAAACCGCTATGCTGACGTTGATGCCATCCAAAAGGCGACGACCGCCATCCGCAACGCTATACCGACAAATGACCTAAAAAATTCATTCGATAACCTTCTTGAACGTGCAAAACGTTGTATTCATGCGGAAGGAGACTATTTTGAAGGCGACCAATAAATTTTTCAAAAAAAAAAACAAATAATATTCGTTTTTTAATAAAAGTCCTGAAACTTTTGAATTGCACCTTGTAGTTACTTATGTAGATACATGCTCATATATACAGACTTAACTATTTACAACAAGAACGTTTACATATTAAGGATTTTGTAAGGGGGATAATATATTTTGCATTTGTGCCAAATACACATGGGGATATTTGTATGAACATATGCATAGTTTTGTTTAGTATACCGGTTATACGGCAAACAAAAAAATTGCACTAGACTTTATTAGTTTTTAATTAAATAATACCACATCGGATTGCCATTCATTATCTTGAACTAAATGTACATTTTGTTTCTTACTAACAACAGCAAACTAAAATTAATGAGTTGGGTAATTTTTGTTAATTGCAGATTGGGTTTCATATCGCAATGGGGCGCTCTAGCTGGTCGTTATGCGGCGCTGTGTCCTCCTGGCTGGCCATGGGCGCCACAACGGTTACCATTTCACAGTCCCACACATGGTAAGTACCGGTAAATTTAATCACAATATAATTTTTTTATATTGATTCAAAGAGTAGTTATTGCACCGGTTTGGTTTTGATTTTTTAAGGCAGTTTTTTAAAGCAAGTACCTTAATATCATTTTTAATTATTAGACCAGTGAAAAAGTAACATTTTATTCCGCAATTGAAGTTTGAAGGCTTTGATGTTAACTTATCCACTCACATTGGTCGTTCAGGTCTTGAGGTTAATTGAAGCAGGTTTGAATTTTCTTGATGTGTGTCCATTTTGAAATCTTATTGATTAACGCAATGCTTTTCCCAGCAAATATATATATATATATATATATTGTATGTATTTATGCAAACACAATAACTTTAATTATATAATTAAATTTAATTTAATTGAAATTAATTTATTGTTAGAGTTGCGTGTATTATTCAAAGAAACCAATAGGTTTAATTTTATTAACCTCTGTATATTACTCGAATAGGTCGTGAACTCACTTAGTTTCATAACTATACTTTGCATGCCCGAAATATTTATATTGACACTAAGGAAAGAAATCCACTTTATCTTATTAAAATATCACACATTTTGACCATCATAAATGGTTTAGAGTCATACGGAAAGTCAAAATGGATGGAAATCATTATATCGCGTATATTGAGGCTAGCGGAGGATCTGGACTGACTGCATTCACTTTTGCGATTACTCAAGTATTCGAGAACCGGAACCCAATTTTCGAATACTTTTTCCACTAAATCGAGTCGTGTGTCATGAATAGCACGTTTAATATTGACTTCTAAAGCTTGAAGAGAGTCTGGTTTATTGCTAAAGACCAATGACCGATATTTTCAGAATTAAGCTGTAACATATCTAATATATTACGTTCGCTTTATATTGGTGCACCATTTTACTTATTAATCGATATATACTGTATTATTATAGCCAACCGAAAGTTTAAATTCAATTATTATGTATAGGGAGCTAAAAGTAGTATTGGCCCGATTTTATTTTATGTCACAAGAAAAAACTTTTGGAGCTTTTTTATAGCTTTCTGTATGTTTTCGCTTAACGGCGAACGGACTTAGGAGCGTGGCAAAGGCCCGATTTTTGCAATACACGTGAAAGTTTCATCAAGATATTTCAATTTTTACTCGAGTTATCACTTGCTGGGATGGTGGGACGGCCGGTCGGCAGACGGACAGTCACTCGGAATTCAACACGTGTCGTCGTCCTGATCATTACTACATACATAAGTTCACATCTATCTCGATTAGCTTAAGGTGTTACAAACAAAATTTATGTAACTATTATACTCTGTATCAGCATGTTGCGAGAGTATCTTCTATCTATCTATATAAAAATTAAACCCATTTCCCGTTGTCACGCCATAATTTGAGAACGGCTAGACCGATTTGGCTGTTTTTTTGTAGTTTTTTAATACTCTGTAGAAGGTTCTTACGGAAAAAAATATTAAGAAAATGTCTCAGAAAGATTGAAAAAATACATTTAATTTTGCATATTTTAAAAGAGTTCAAGGGGATTCGAGGATGGTTTAGATTCACAATTTGGTCCATTGGAAAATGTTTATTTAACTAATTTTTCATTTATATGTAGTTGTTAATTTTGGAATGTTTTACATTGGATCCGGTAGACTTCGCTACCATCGCAGATGTTAGAACGTTTTTCATATAATTCCGGCAGACAGACTTTTCTCGCGGCTAATTATACGTTGCGTGCTCGAGAGTAGGAAAACTATCGAATTTATTTGTTTATACCTCTCAAGGATTAACCAAAAATATTGTACATCCTATGGTATTACGATAGCTTCAGTTTTTGTAGATAATTAACTCTAAGAATAAATACCCGTTATAGAATAGATTCAACCTTTTCACAATCAATTAAAACGACTTCAAGTTTTCATTCAATACAGCTTCTACAATAAACATCTCTGAAAGCATTCTAATATACATATTGACAAGCTATCGACTGGTCGGATTGTGGTAAATATATATGAATGAAGTTAGATATTGTAATAAGTTTGTAATAAAAATATTCATCAAAACGGTCTAATTGTTACAGCTCATTTCAAAAAGTTTGCATTTAAGATGTGAGGACAACATCTGTCGGGCTTCTAGTATAATATAAATTACCATAATTAGTATAAACGAATCGAAGATATTTTCTATAAAAAATACAATAAACAAGTTTCATAAAGTTTATACATAATATACTACACAAAATAACTAGGGAATTGCATAAAATAACTTTTCCTCTTTATTGAATGATATCTTGTTAAAGTTTTAAGGTCAACTATATATTTAAATAAATTTAAATTTGTTTAAATAAACAATAAATATTACTTTACTACCTTTGTGCCCACCTTAAAACTATTTCTTGCTTAACTTACTTCTGTGACACGTGAGCTTTTTCTGGCGTACCTAACCATTGTTTAGGATTATAAAACACTCTGAACCGTTCAGCTTTAAATTTGTGCTCAACTTGCTTTTAAGCTTCAATTGCCTGCAATAGCAATGCTTTAAGGAATTCGCGCTATGTCTTTGACAAGTGAATTGGCAACATGTAACGGTGCTAAGTTTACAAATATTCCACTAATAGTCTAGACGCGGTGCGTAATCGCCACTTTGCATAATCGTCGAATTCTTTGTGACATTCTTGAATGTCCCCTTCGATTAAATTCCGTTCTGTCTTAGTGCGCCGCTTTGCGTTTCAATTTGCAGTCAATTTGAAGCCACAAAAGCCTTACACACACATGCGTACATGCATTAGTGTGCAACTGCATTTGCGACCGTTAGCAGAAGTGTATAACAGGTGCCTCCTACCGCTTGCGAGCTAACCCACCAACTTTGCTCAGTGCATTGCATTCTCGGTGCTTCGATCGGTTTTCAATTAATTGCAATTTGTAGCAGGGATTAAGTTACATTGCTTAAGTACATCGCATCGGTTGAGGTTTTTTACACCACTATGCACATCCAACTATGTGCCTGAGTGGGTGGATCAACGGTCAAACCGACGTGTGTGGAATTTTAGTCGCACATCCACGTATATTGTGGATAGGGTGGCGAGTGCAGCGTGTTTTCGCGCATTCCCAATAGTTTAAGCCTATTTAATTGGTCTGTTAAATTAAGTAACTACAATCGCAATTGAATTTGTGCATGTAAATTGGCCTTAAGTTTGTACGTTATTATCGCCGTTGGAATGTACTTAAGTTAATAGCGGAATAACACACATATGCAAATATTTGTTACTATAGTACACACCCTCTTGGGAAAAAATGGAGTTTTATTTGTAGAAAATTTGAAACAATTTACTTCATCAGATTCTTATACAAGTAGTATGAGTCTTCGTTTACGCTATTTTAATTTTTTTGCGGGGGGTTGTTGCAGGTACATATAAGTACATTTGCTCATATATGGATTTACCTCAGCAAACAAATCAAAAATCACTGAAAATTCACTGTCTTGCAAGAGCGAGTATTCACATATGATACATATACTCGTAACTGTTTAGAAAGCTAGTAGTACATTATCTACAAATTAATATAGAATTTCCAAAAGTAAAAATAAAATTAAATTTGTTTGCCAGACCATATATATACATAAAATCCGTAAAAATAGACAATTAATTTCCAAAAAAATCTTTGTTTACTTATGTAAAAGACAATGTGTGAAATTGTTATAAAAATAACTTAAATTGAATATAGTTTTTTAATCCACGTAAAGTTAGTTATGAATATAATGCGAAACGCATTTTTATTCTTTTTCCAAAATCTCTTTTTTAACATCTCTAAGACAAAAATAAATTTTCACTTCAAATTAAGAAATGAAGAAATCATGATTGCTAGCACTTTGGTCTAATAGGTTAGTTTTGGGGAAATAGAACGACTGACAGCCATTTTAAAAAGTGTTTGAACACTCTCGCTCACACATATTCAAAGTGCGGAGGAAGTAGCACTCAGTGGCTGTAGAAATAAATAGAAGTGGAACACAAACGCCCACTAACTGCCACTTAATTACATTACCCACCACTAACACATATTAACAGAAAATGTACACAAAGTAACCACGAGGTTTCCAACCTCTAGCGAACCAGACGCTCTCGTTTCACACGTTTCACGCGAGCGTCTAGCTGAGCGAGCTTACTCACTGCTCCTGCGCCTTGAACACTCATTTAGAAGCTGAAAACGAGTGAGTTTCAGCACTACAAAATAATTTTTTAGCCGTAGAAACATTAGCACAAGCAATGTATGTGGATAAGGGTCGTATAAGCAGCAACCCCGGAACTCACAGCTTTCCTGTTTAGTACCAACAATGAAGAAAGTAGTCACAGACATTCACATTTGCGATTCCAGTTCATCATTTATTACTCTTAAACAAATAACCCACACTAATTAGATTCTCTCGTTTCTCTTTCTCATTGCAGACAGTTCCTCAACCAACACAACGGAGAATCCTTCCTCGCCTACATCACTAAGCCCAAACCATATTGGGAACAACAGCAGCAGCAACACTCACGGCAACGGTGGCAACAATGGTCATAGCAATGGCAATAAATCGCCATCGCCGCATGGTTACAGTCATAGCCAACAACAACATTCACATCTGATACATCCGCATCAACCTTCAACGCCGACTAGTAGTGGCGGCGGTAGCAATGGACATCCGCTGCTCAGCCACCACAGCTCGCATTCGAATTCCAGTTATTTACTGCCCAGCAGTTCCAACGAGTCCGACGATGATGGCGAAGAGATTATTGAAGAAGACGATGGCAATGATGGACCCTCAGATGGCTCTTCGCCACAAGGTGGCGATGGAAATCAAACGAAGCGCAAGAAAAAGACTCGCACAGTGTTTTCGCGAGCACAGGTCTTTCAGTTGGAGTCCACATTCGATCTGAAACGCTACCTCAGCTCTTCGGAGCGTGCTGGTTTAGCTGCCTCGCTACGTCTCACTGAGACACAAGTGAAAATTTGGTTTCAAAATCGGCGCAACAAATGGAAACGTCAGCTAGCGGCCGAATTGGAGGCAGCCAACATGGCGAATATGGCGCATGCCGCACAACGTTTGGTGCGCGTTCCAGTGCTCTATCATGACGGCTCTGGTGCGGGATTCGTTCCTCCCCCACCACCGCATCACCATCCCATGCAGTATTATGCAGCGGCAGCAGCACGCAATACAAGCCCACCACGGCCACCCCTCTCGTCGCTCGTATAGGGCGTGGGGTGCCTGGCGGCCGCGGTGGTACCCAACTGCGGCGGTCCAATCTCATTGCGAAAGCCGCCATACACCATTCATGCACCAACATCGCCAACTCCGACATCAGTACACGATATGGATGACTCAGATACAGAGGAGGAAGCCGCAATCGATGTGGAAGCCGACGAGGATGAGGAGGAGCTGCGTGTAACGCAAGCGCAGTTAGCACAGGGCAATAGGGATTCAACTAGCGGCGGCGGCAGAGACGTGTTGCGGAAAACGACACCATTCGAGCTGTTGGCGAAAAGTGTCAATTGCCTGGAGATGCACAGCAGCGGTGGTGGCAAGGAGCTGATTATCAACAGTGCTGGTGGCGCCAGCAGTGACAACTGTGTTGAAAGAGCCACCACAGTGCACAAGGTGTACTAACAGCATGGAGAGAAGGACGAGAGGCTTTCAACGCTTGCCGGAAGAATCTCGAAAGTGTTGTAAATTTTTATTGAGCCATAATGTAGCAAAGATTGATGGGAGGGGAAGTACTGAAAAAATTGGTTTCACATAAAAGGAATTTCCCTTGTTTAAGTGCAGGAAGGTAACAACAACAAATCTTAAAAGCTAACTGAAGCGGGGTACATTCGTCGAAGAGTGTACGTAAAAATGTTTGAATGTTTTCCCTTAAATTTAAAGTGTGGTCTGCATAATAAGAAAGTGCTAAGTAAAAATAGTAATCAATGTTCAAACGTTTCTGGTTTCCAAGTAAAAAAAACAACAAAGCAATACAAAACGAAATTTTGACTAAGAAACCTATTCTACCTATACCTGTAAAAAGTCGTTCTCTTTCGTTTTCTCCTCTTGGCTACTAATTTTGTAAATAATTAAATGTTGGCATACGGTGTCTCTTTGCTCAACATTTGTGCTTACAATTAAAAACATCTATAAAAGATATACTATGTATATATATTTATCTAAATACGATTATAAATGTATATATGTGTACTCAGAGGCTTAAAACAGTCGGGTTTGTAAAATATGTATGTAGGACTCTATAGATATATATGTTTGTTTTGTTAAAAAAATCTTTCATTAAATATTGCACAGGTATGCGATTATACGTTCATTAAGTCATATAAATTAGTTATGTACGTATTTATGTAGCGTCGCATTTATGTATGCAAGCAGCGTATAAAGCCAAAAAGTAGTTTAGATATATATACATATAATTCTTATATATAAACATATACATTAATGCCCTTTGCTCTAATTAATGCAAGTACTTAATTACACTAATAATTATTACATATACCTACACAATTGGAATGATGCCCAGTTAGCGTGTACATAGTTAAATTATGCCAAAATAAATGTTAATATCATACCTAAGAGAAAGTTTAATAAAAAATGAAAAAATGAATAATAAATTGCTTATTTATGGAAAATTAAAGTATGCAAATTACAAAGTTTTGTGTTTTTATTAATATTCAACATACATACAGCAAAGTTTATACTATATAAGATTTCAAAAACTAAAACTGGTTGCCTAATTTTACATGCTACCTGACCAGTTGTGAAGATTCTCCGAAGGCGGTCGATTGCGAATCGTAATATCACTTAATTGCTCCGTATTAAAAATTTGGTACAATACACTCACTCACTCACTTGAAAGCATAACTTACTCAATTCTTTATCGATTTTACTTGAAATTTGGACTGTTTTCTGCAAATAAACTCCACGGATTTTTTATGTTACAAATCTCATTTGTTATAAATATTTCTTGTTAAAAGAGCAATTTAATCTTCAAGTGTTCTACATTGTAGCAAAAAGTGGCACAAACAGGTACCTAGGTTCTTCTCTAACTTTTTATACTCTCGCAACCTGTTGGTACAGAGTATAATAGTTTTGTTTACCTAACGGTTGTTTGTATCACCTAAAACTAATCGAGTTAGATATAGGGTTATGTACATATAAATGATCAGGATGAAGAGACGAGTTGAAATCCGGGTGACTGTCTGTCCGTCCGTCCGTGCAAGCTCTAACTTGAGTAAAAATTGAGATATCTTTATGAAACTTGGTACACATGTTTCTTGGTACCGTAAGACGGTTGGTATTGGTGGTTGGCCTATAAAACGCCATTAATCAAAAAAAATAAATTGCCATAATTAAGCTCCGCAATAAGATACATGACTGTTATTTGGTACACAGGATCACATTTGGCAGGGGCATCTGCAGTTAAATTTTTTTTAAGTGGGCGTGGTCCCACCCCTAATAGGTTTAATGTGCATATCTTCTAAACCGCTAAAGCTATAAGAACAAAATTCACTGAGAGCAAATGTTTTTAGCCCCTCTATCGCCCACTCCCCATATAACGGTACTGTTAAAAACTACTAAAAGCGCACAGACATTAAATTTTATCTCTGGGATGGTATGAGATAACTTTATAGGAACCGCGTTCAAAATTAGACAGTGGGCGTGGCACAGCCCACTTTTAGGTGAAAACCCATATCTTGGGATCTGCTTAACCGATTTCAACCAAATTCGGTGTATAACTTATCTATCTTTTTATATTTCTACGTCATAGTGCGAAAATGGGCGAAATCGGACTACAACCACGCCTATTTTCCATATAACACCATTTTCAATTCCATCTGATTATTTCACTTTCCACTATGCATATCAAAAAACTTTGCTTGAATAATACGTTCAAAGTATGCCACCTTGTGACCAAAAATTGTCTAAATCGAACCAAAACTGTTTAAGCCCTTAAGTACTAAATATGTAGACCTTCTACCGAAAATATAAGTCAATCCAGAAAGAAATCTCAAACGAGTATATCATTTGACTTTGCGAGAGTATAAAATGTTCGGTTACATCCGAGTTTAAGTTACTACTACCACTAACTTTGAAGAGGATCCATATAAGAACCTGGTAAGCGAAGGAAATAATGCAAAATGAACTCCGATAACAACAACCACATTTGCAACGTATTGATGGAACTCTTCGCTGCTATAATGTGAAAATTATTTAAAAATGTGTTAAACAACAACTACAATCCGTGTGATTTTAGTTGTTGCCGCTCTTGTTGCAGTAATTGCAACAAATACCCAACGGCATTTCAGTTTCTGTGGCAATGAGTTCAAAACCGGAAAATAAACGCGTTGAGCGTTTGTATGAATGTGCTCGTAGAAAAAGGAATTAAAATAAATTGCACTTATTTTTCGCAATTCAACACCTCGCTGCATCGCACTAAAAGCCACATTAAAAAACTACAGTAAGCACAACAAATGCGATTCACAATTGTAATAATTGTTGCAACAACAGCTTTCCCTTTTGTTTTCGTTGTTATTGTAGTTGTTGTTTTTCCGCGAAACAACAAAAATCATGAAGTATTTAATGTAGACACGCTGGCAGGCATTTGTTGCAACTGCAATTACACTTGCACACACATTCAAACACCCACATACACGCACATATATGTATGTATGTTTAAGCGCGCTATGCCCAACCACAAGTGCTGTAGCATTGCCAGCAAATACAACAATAGCAACAAGAACTGCCACAAAATCAGCAATTGCGCTGATAGCAACAACATTTCATGAATATTTGCGTTGGCAATTAATCGTAAATAAGCGTTTGCAGCGCCGCCATTGTTCTTTAAATGTGTACGCGCCAACAGGCAGCTGCAGCAGATGCGGCGATGGCAACAACAACAACAACAACGGCAATTGCATGTAAGCATTATTGTTGCAACAATAAATAACAACAATTGCTTGCAGGCGCACAACAATAACGCCCGCAATAATACTACGCGCATTATTATAAATAAAAAATATGTTGCTTAAACAACACCAACAAAAAAAAAACAATGAATACTCAAACAAAATGTGAATTCGCGCCGCGGCCGATCGTTTATGAATAATGAACGCAAACGCTTGCAATCAACTAGTGTAGTTGAGCTTTGTCAAGTGGGTGGCAGCAGTAAAAGGCCTCTGAATATATGTATGCACACACACATATATACTTATGAATATAAATATGCATGGCGGAATTGCGAATTGGACTCTATTCTCTGTGCTATATCTTACCTATATACATTTGTATATCCATGTGTGTGTGTATGTAAGTACGAAAATATGCATTGTCCTCGTTTATGAATAATTGCTTACTACTTAGGCGAAACAAAAGAAAGCTCTAAGTAAATCGAAAGCATTTAGTGGCTTTCCTCAAGTACTCGAGTATAGATGTGCGTACAAGTACTTTCACTCAAAATGAGACAAGGCTAATACTTACTAGTATACAGACCAACATTTTAGTATACTAAAATCGGGGTTGCAAATAATGCATTAAAAAAATAATTTAATTGACGTTTGAATTAAAAGATTTTATTGTGGGCTAGAAGTGATTGTGATAAAGCATGCGCATTCACTAAACATAAAGCTGTAACTTTTCATCTAATTGAGACTAGTGAAATTGCGTTCCTCATGCAACAATTATAGCAATATTCATTTGGAAACTCAAAAATGAAATTAAAAGGCTTAAAGTTAAGAAACAGCTGAAGTATTAAGGCAGTTATCACACACAAGTCTGTTAAAGCTACTCTTTTCTACCTCTCTTTTCAATTCATCAATCCGTCTCACACAGTTTACAAGTCTCTGGAAAGTAGCTGAAGTTGTCATGGTCCCTAAACCTGAAAAGGATCCTCACATAGTCTCTTCATATAGACCAATATCACTACTTCCGCAAATCTCAAAGCGGATCAGTTAATTCCATCGCACTAGTTCGGCTTTAAAAACAAACAATCTACAATAGGACAAATTCATAGAATAACATCCAAAACAGAAAAATCCCAGGAAGAGGGAAAAGTGTGCTCAGCGGTATTCCTTGACGTGTCGCAGGCGTTCGATAAGGTGTGGCATGAAGGTCTTATGTATAAACTAAAATTATGTTTTACGGTTGAGTATTGTGCTTTTCTAGAATCGTATATCACCGCGAGATTTATTCCTGTAAAACAAGAGAATGAATACAACCAAATTATTAACCCGGTATGTTCATATGGTGCGCAACTTTAATATTCATCGTTTCCAAAATAAGATGCTAAGAAGTATATATTATCCCTGGTACTTCAGAAATGCAGTCGACGAAGAGTTATGATTTCGTGCAGAGGCCAATTTCTTCTCTAAGACAAAGACATCTATTCGCTTATGTTCAAAAGAAATTACATAATTTAGTTGGTAGTTAAAATACCAAGGAATTACGAATTTTTATACTCTCGCAACTTGCTGCTACAGAGTATAATAGTTTTGTTCACCTAACGGTTAGTCACCTAAACCTAATCGAGTTAGATATAGGGTTATGTATATATAAATGATCAGGATGAAGAGACGAGTTGAAATCCGGGTGACTGTCAAGCTGTAACTTGAGTAAAAATTGAGATATATTTATGAAACTTGGTACACGTGTTTCTTGGCACCGTAAGGCGGTTGGTATTGCAGATGGGCATATTCCGACCTCTGCCACGCCCACAAAACGCCATTAATCAAAAACAAATAAATTGCCATAACTAAGCTCCACAACAAGATACACGACTCTTATTTGTTATACAGGATTACATTAGGAAGGGGCATCTGCAGTTTACATTTTTTTTAAAGTGGGCGTGGTCCCGCTCGCTAATAAGTTTAATGTGCTTATCTCCTATACCACTGAAGCTATAATAACAAATTTCACTCAAGTCAAATCTTTCCCTACGGACAGTGTGAAATCGGGTGATAACCCCGCCCACCCCCGTATAACGGTTTCGATCGAAACTACTAAAAGTTCGATAAACAAGCATTAAACAAGCCAGATTTACCGCAGTTTTAGAAGTTTTTAACAAGACCGATATATGGGGAGTGGGATATATCCTGCGTGGCAGTGGTTTGATTACGCCCATCTACGAACTCGTTTTCACTTTTTTGCCAAGGAACCGAGTTTCATTAAGTCTTAATTTTTACTCAAGTTATTGCTTACACGGACGGACGGACGGACGGCCAGACGGATTTCGACCCTTCTCATCATCCTGCTCATTTGTATATATTTACATAACCCTATAACTAACTCGATTATTTTTAGGTGATACAAAGAACTGCTGGGTGAACAAAACTATTATACTCTGTAGCAAGAGGTTGCAAGAGTATACAAATGTTCGATTTTTAATTCCGGTTTTTGGATTAAAAATTATATTTTAAATTTCAAGATGTTCGGGTTTAAAAATATACTTTTTGATCCAAGATTTGAATTGATTTTGCCCGTCTGAAGATGTTGACATTACTAATGCAACTCAGTCCATTGTCAAAACCTAAAATGTTTGAAGTGTTAAAACCAATTCAGCAAAAAATTTCGTGCACAGGAGGAAAGGACATATGGTTTGCAGTTTCAAAGGTTTTCAAAAGTGGTCCTCCCCTATATCTAATGGACCATT